AAAAGCAGAGGAAATAAGCAGAAAAAATTAAATCCCTGAAAATCACACTAAGAGCATCAAGGAGTAGAATTTAAACTGAAGAAAACTGGACATAGAGGGCAAGCTATTGAAAAAAAAATCACATAGAATTTAGTGGAAAGTGACACAAAATGAAAGTGACGAGGGGGAAGATGAATGAAGCAGAAAACAACAATAGAGAAGTGACATGAATGACTGCTATCTTTGAAGATGTGAATGAATAAATGGAACGAAAAAATTTACATAATAGAAGAATTTTTTGAAATAAAGCAGATCTTAAAATTACATTTTGAAAGGGCTCACCACATTCCAAGGAAATTTAATAAAAGCTTTTTTTCTAGAACTTAAAGGACTTAAAAAAAAACTATGGTCACCTAGGCACAAGGAAAAATGTCATCCTCAAAAATGAAGAAATCAGACAAAATTAGATCCTACAAGAAAATGGAACAGTGGTTAATGAATAATAAAGGAGAAAACATTTTCTATGCCTGGTCTAATCTTTAATATGTAATGATCAGAAAAAGAAATTCTCAAATACATTAGAACTCAAGAAACATAACATTTATCAACTTCTGAAAAATCTGTCAGAAAAAAAATCAAGACAATGAAGAGATGAGTAACAATAATGAATTCACGAATGAGAAAGTCATGAGGTAGGAAAGGTTTGGTGATGAGCTTTAACTCTCTTTGTACACAAAGTTATCTTTAAGTAACTAGGATTCTAAGTCATAAAGTAAAATATAATTGTTATAATGCTTAAAAGAAAATTACACAATATAATAGTATTTTGATGATAATAGGAACAAGAATCATATTTGCTCTCTAAACTAACAGAAAAGAGGGGAGAGGAGAAGAAAATATTCTAAGTAGATTAATTTCATCATCTTTCATCATCATTTCATTTCTTAGGTAAATTGAAAAATACAAATGTAAACATATTACTTAATACACTTTACAACTTCCAAATTGCTTGCGTGTGGGAGGTGGCCTTGTAAAGTGGCTCCCGATGAGCCCCAACTCCTGGTATCATGCCATTATTAGTAGGCTACACATAATGACTTGTCTCTAACAAAGAGAATGTGGCAAAGTGATGGGATTTCACTTCTGAAGTTGACTACGATTTCTGTCTTGCTTACACTCTTTCTCTGCCTCTTCTCCCATGCTTGCTTTGATTAAGCCAGCTGCCATGTTGTGAGCTGCCCAATGGAGAGGCACATGTGACAGGAAACTGAGGCTCTCTAGGGCCCCTGAGCAACTGAACTCTGTCAACAACTAGAACCTTCAGCTGAGAATGGTGCCCTGTGAAAACTGAACAATGAAAACCCTGAAGCAGAGGACTCAGCTGAGGCATGCCAGGATTCCTGGCCCACAGAAAGTACAAAGTACATGTGTCTGCTGTTTCAAGCTGCTAGGGTTGGTGGTAGTTTGTTACACAGCAAAAGATAACTCATACACAGAGGAAAATAAAAATACAAACACAACAGAACAAAACAAAGAAAACAGATCATAAAGCAAAAAGAGAAAACAATAAGCATTCAAAATGTGAACAAATAAAACAGGTAAGGTCAAATATATCTAAAACAATTTCAAGTAAGATAGAATAAACTATTTTTAAAAAACTATTAAATGAAACAAAGAGAGACACTTTATAATGGCAAAAGATACACAACTCACAATGAAGTTATTATTGCTAGTATGAATCTTCATATATCAAATAATGCAGCATTAAAACATGTAAAGGAAAACTTCAAGAAATAAAAAAATGAATAAATGTTAGGAGACTTCTCCCAGTCTCCTTCCCATAAATCTCCAAACATCCCCTAATCTGTCTCTATCTTCCAGCCCACCCCAACCCCTGAAACTCTTTCACTGAGCCCTCTGGAATTTGTGATTTCCTCTCCCACATCAGTTTTTGCTGCTACTACACTGATTCAAGCCACTATTATTTCTTACCTTGGTTACTGCAAGAGCTCCTCACCTATTCAGATACCACCATTGCTCTCGATGATCTCTTCTAGATAAAGCAGCCAGAATAAGCCTTCAAAAATATGCCTGACCACATCACTCTTCATTTCCATATGAAACTCTCTGGCAGTCGCCCATTTCATTCAGCATATAAGCCAAAGGTCCTACAACACACTACAAGCCCTACACCTGTTCCAACGCAGTGGTTACCCTCAGTCCTCCCACTTCTCCTCCTGGCTCTCTCCAATCCAGCCACACTGGCATGCCTGCTGTTTCTTGAAAGCTCCAGCCACACATTTGCCTTGTGGCCTATGCCTAACTGTTCTCTCCCTGGAGTGTCCTTTTCTCAGAAACCCACAAGATCATTCCCTTACCAAATCCAAATCTGGAATGTTACCTTCTCAATAAAATTTATCTTGATCACTATATTTAACATTTCAACCCATATTCTCCTGTCTTCCCAAGCTCCTTTATCCTGCTTTATTCAAAACATTTGCTAATATACCATGTAACTTACTTATTTAGTTTATGCTTATTAGTTATTGTCTGCCTCTTCCACACTCACATTAGAGTAGAAGCTGCATAGGGGCAGTCAATTTTTTCAGTTTCATTCATATATGCAGCTCAAGTATCTAGAAAGGTGATTAGTACATAATGGGCACTCAAAAGATATTTGTCGACCCTTCTCGTAACAAATATGAGGCAATCAGCTCTTCAACATTGTGAAAGCCATAAGCTACCTACACATATAATTTTTTTTAAAAAAATTCCAAGAGATGCCTTAACTGTAATATAAAGAAAAAAGTAAATGTGTGATTCATTATGGAACTGTTCAGGCATCCCTAAGCTAAAGGACACAATGAAGTAATGATGCTTGCATTCATCTGTAGAATCACCATCAAAAACGGACAGCCATAAAATGAACTCTATTGCTGATTCAAATTCCAGACACTGTATTCCCATTCAATAAACTACATTGCAGGAAAACTCAATACATCTTAAAACTGTGTGAAAAATACTTTCTGTTTATATAGAAAATAGATTCTAGGCTCAGGTAAACATAAACAGGTTTTTCATTTACACAAATGGACAGTAGAACAGTCAAGTCACACACAAATGCAGGAAATTCTTTGCTGTGCAGTACTAGTCTGGGCACTGCAAGGTATCTAGTATCTTTGGTTCTGCCAACTACATTCCAGTAGTTCTCCCTCTCCAGTCTCTGGGACAAGCAGTATCAGTCTGGTAAAAATTCCCAAAATAACTCCCGGAAGTGGATCTACCCAACAGACTGGATTTGTGAATCCAGTGGCCTACTTTTCTGTTATCATTGGCTACCTCTCTATACCGTTTGACTTGTCAATGAGCCCGTCTTCACTTCTCTCCTTCCTTGGCTTCTGCTTCACTGCGTTCCTGGAGCTTTCCGAATTTTACTTTCACAGTTCCTGCCAGGTATCATTGCCCGACTCCTCATCAACCCTTGCTCACCTCCGCTGTCCGCTGTCCTTCCTTTTTTTTTTTTTTTTAGATTTATTTATTTGAGAGAGAGAGAGCAGGAGGAGAGGCAGAGGAAGATAGAGAATCTCCAGCCGACTCCTCACTGAGTACACAGCCCCATGTAGGGGTGGATCTCAGAACTCTGAGATCATGACCTGAGCTGAAATCAAGAGTCTGATGCCTCACCGACTGAGCCAACCAGGTGCTCCTGCCCTTCCTTTTTCCACTCCACTTCAACTCCCTCTCCTAAGTAATTGACTCTCAAAGTTCTGTTTCTACACAGGATATTCAAACCCACACTTCCAACGGACACTCTGCCATTCATACACAGAAAGCCTCAAGTTATACATGTCCAAAATCAAACTAGTCATCATCTGCTAAAACCTATTATTCCACCAGTCGTACTTATTTATGTGAATGACAACATCATCCACTTAGTCCATCTAGAAGTGACAGTCATCTTTGTTCACTAGTCCTCACTCCCACATCCAGTTGATTGCACTGTTCTGTCCATTTTGCCTTGGAAGTGTTTCTTATCTGCTTCCTTTCTGTTACTGTAGTTCAAGTTATCATTACCTGTGACTGAGAATACTGTCACAGCCTCCTAACTGGTATTTCTACTCCAATTTATCTTTTGATATTTCTATAAAAGGAGATAATAATAGTATTCATTTGTATTTATAAATAATAATTAGTATAGTGGTGATCTAGGGCTCATTATACTCCAGCCACTATACATAAATGCTTCCCATCTCTTTCAATCTGCACAACCACATCATAACGTAGGAGTTGTTATTATCGAAATTTTAAAGATGAGGAAAAAGAGGTTTGGGGAAGTTAAGTAACACCTAAGATCACATAGAGCTAGCTCCAAAGTGACGCCAGGATCCCAGCTCTATCTAGCTTCTAAAATCCCTGTTGGTTTTGCCTTTTATTTATTAATTTATTTTCTGACACAACTTTTTCATATTGCCTCGACCTTTTTTTTTCTTTTTTTTTTAATTGGAGATATTGCCTCTGTCTAATCACAACCTTCTATTTAGTCTCCACATTTATTGCATCTGCCATTTTCTTCCTCCTCCATCCATTATCCATCTACCATTTTTCCATAGTGCCCCTAGCCTGACCACAAGCTTCCATTCTGTCTCTGTCCTTCCCAGGCCATTCTTCCAAATCCATAGGTTCTGTGGTTTTACTTTATCTCCTTCTTTAGCTCGGATTTATTCATCAGCTACTCGGAAGAGAGTCCTTCACAGCAGGCTCCTCTCCTTTCACCCTGCTCTCTCCTTCTCCCCACTCTCCTCCCAGCTGCTAAGAGCAGGGTTAGAAAAGGAAATGAATAGAGCGGATGCAAAAAAAAAAAAAAAAAAAAAAAACAACTCCCTGCAGGCATCTTAAGTTTTTCTTTTTCTCTAACTCAGTGTTGGCTTATGGTTCCCACATAATAAGCCAAATAAAAGGAGCTCTGTAAACTGTAGAGCGCTCTGCAAACGTAAAGCGCAATTCACTCCCCCTACCTTGGCATGCCCGGGGCTTCAACTGAGCTACTCTGCGAACGGCCGCAGAGGTGCTCCACGCAGAGAACGCCACGTTTGCGCTCCGAGGGAAGGAAGAGGGAGGCCCAAATGATAGAGGAGTTTGGCTCGGGGAAAGGTCCACTTGCCACTGCTGCCCAAACCCAGCTTAAAAGTTCACAGGGGCGAGTAAGACCGGGCGAGGGTGGTGTCAGCCTGAAAACCCCCATTTACAACTCCCTCTAGGAGCGCTCCCCTCCACCCTCCCCAGCTCCCTGGAGGTTTCAAGCTCTCGCACCAGTCCTCGCCGACTTGCACTGGGCGCGCCCCCGCCCCGCGTGACCTCTCGGCTTCCCCGCACCCGCCGCCCTCGGACCCCCGCCCCCCGCCCCCGCCCGCGCGCCGGCGGAGGACTACAAGTCCCGGCGTGCCCCGCGCCCGCCCCGCGGGCCGCACCGGCGCTGGGCGCGTGGCGGCCGCCGAGCTCTGCGCGGGGCGAGCCTCCCGGCGCCGGCCCTGCGGGGAGGTAAGTGATGCACGCCCGTGCAGCCCGGGCCCGGGAGCGCGGCCACCCTCTCCCCCTGCAGGAGCGAAAGGCCCCGAAGAAAGCCGCCGTAAAGCCCGCCCTGCCCGCGCTGCCCGCGCTGCCCGCCCTCGTCTCTGCTGTGCGTCCGGCGCTCCTGCAGCGTGTCGCGCCCACGAGCGTGGAGCCTGTCACCCCGGAGCGGACCTGGGCTCCGCCGAGAGAGCTGCGGCCGCCGGGGGCTGCGGGGCGGGGCTCGCAGCACGGGAGCCGGGGCCCGGCGGGCGGCACGCCCCCTCGCTGCGGGCACTCCCGGCTCCCCGGGGAGCCCCCCCGCCCCGACTCGAGGACGGACGGCTGCTTCTTGCAAGTCCTAGAAACTTTCCCCTCGTGTCGCCGGTGCCGCCGCGAGTCGTCTGCCTGTCGGACGGCGCCCCCCCTCCGGCCCTCCGCGCGGCCCCGCCGCTCGCCCTCCGGGGCGCTCCTCCCGCTGCCCCGGGACGCCCTGCCCTCCGGAGACTTCTCGAGATTCCGTCTGCGGCCACGTGGAGCCAGGTCTGCGCCCCGCGATGTGGGCTGGACACCGCGGAGGGCCGACCCGGTGGCGGCAGGCAGGGCGAGCGCTTGCTTTGGGACACAGCGCTGGTCGCCGGGGTCGGGGCCCGGGGGGCGGGGGGATGGGCGCTGAGCAATAAAGGAAACCCCCTCGGAGGCACCAGTTTCCCGCCTTTGCAGACCCAGCTCCCGTCCTGAGCCCATTCCCCGAGTGTGCCCGAAAGTTCTGCCTCAATCCCAACATGAGCATCTCCCGCCCGAGTTACCTAGCAGGGCCCACCATGTCCTGGATCAGAAGATCTTGTTCGCATCTCCCCCCCCCGGCCCCCTCCCACGCTTGCACCCTGCACAAAACCCACCGTGCACGCTACACGCTCGACACACTCATCACAGCAGCATGCATTGGATACACGCACTCCATCCATTCCGCAGGCTCCGTACACATACCATACGCACAACGTACACATCATTTTTATTAGCAGGAAAGAGGGTTAATTGAGTCCGTTTGTTGGAGAGAGTGAGGAGGAAGTGGGTGAGTACTAGTATAGATGCTCATACCCACAAATGCCAATTTATTCCAAAGTTAGAAACTAGCTGATAATAAATGAATCAATCAATCAATCTTTAAAAAAAATAGCACATAAAGTGAAACCTGCTGACCTGCTGTGGTTAGAATTTAGGATGCTTTCTTGGCTCCCACCTACCCCCCCCCTCTTTTTTTTTTTTTTCTTTAAATGGGATTGATTTCCTACATCACCCTCTGAAAGCCTTAACCCTCTCTAATAGGCAAACTTGATCACAGCACAGGAGAGAGAAGCAGATGTCCTGTAGGTGTAGGAAGAAAATCATGGGGAAACTTCACAGAAACCTTCCTCCCATGCGGTGTGTCTAAGGAAAATATAGGTGTAAAGACATCTTCTTTGCCTCCTTTCAAGAGTTGGAGAGCTGGACAGATTTTGTTCTGAGCCATGGCGTGAGGGTGCCGTTGAAACACCTTCCTCCCCCTGCTTTGCCCCCAGGACTCACAGCCCAGTCCATTTGAATTTAGTTGGAGCACATTTCAGGAATTTCAGATCCAGTCCCATCAGTTTTCATCCAGAGTGAAAGGGTTCTCTATCTCCAGAAGAGTTCCATCACCTTAATCAGTGGTGATAAGACTCAACTGTTTGACCCGACTCAACACATAGAATGTGCCCTTAAATTATTACTGCTAATAATTATTGTTATTTTTAGAATGTGTCCCTAAATTATTGTTGGCTTTTTCAAGGGAGCAGTGGTAAAGATGGGCAGAGAGCACTTGAAATAGTTCTCAGTGATGATCTTTCAAGAAGTTGAGCATTTCTAATACCACTCTTGGAATAAGTAAGGGCAGAAATACTGGACTTTGAAATTCAGGTTGCACATTCAGATTAATCTTCTTCTGGGGCCCTCAAAATTTACTAAAGAAAACGGAGACCTGCCACTTTCTCCTCAATTCTTCCTGAATTCTACACAGTCATGTAGCACAAATGACTTTTTCTAGGATCCTTCTTGGGAACCTGTATTGTCTGCCTTTATCTTGAGTGGTTTAGTTGACATCATGAGCTAAAAGTGTCCAAATATCCACTGGTGTTTATTTCGATGACAGCTATGCATACTTCCTATTCATCTGCGGCATATTTGTGCAATGGGAATGTTTCTCTTCAGCAGTGGTCCCGGCCAAACAAAGGATCCATGAGATTGACCAGGGTAATTTAAAAGATCATGCCTAAGTCTCTCAACACCACCTTCCAATTTTCCTGAATGGTAGGAGACAACTATGTATATGGGGGTTGGCATAGCATCTTCTTTTTCATACGTAGCAAATATAGTACCCAGCGCTCATAGATAGTAAACATTAGTTAAATTTGTTGAATTATGCTTCCTGGGTGACCGGGATGAACTTTTAAGATTAAACCCGCCCCAGAACTAATTGTTTTGTAGAAGGAGGTTTGCTTCATTCTGAGTTTTGGCCGACTTCATCTGCTAGGTTGAATGCCAAAATAAAAGAACGTAGGTGTTTTCCAAAGATCTGGTCATCCACTTTGCATCCTCTGAAATATGGGACTTCCTGTAGAAAGAAGAAAAGAATTTTCTGCGGGGCGGTGCTTTCCTTATTCTTACAGAGATTATTTTAAAAGCCAGCCCTGGAAACTTTGTCCGATGAGTGTCTCTCAGGGAGAAAGAGTAACACAGGACTGCAGCTCCTGAATATTCACTGGTTATAGCCAGTAATAGCACTAGGTTCTTTCTCTTATTTTCTCTTGTGTTTTTTTTGTTGTTGTTGTTTTTTTGTTTTTTGTTTTTTTTTGTTTCCCTCCCATGGGGTGTGTGTGTGGGGGGGGGGGTGAAAATAGTTTTTGAAACCCGACATTCGTCGCTCAGAACCACAGCCAGAACCTGTCCTGCAGCAACAATGAAGGGGAGGGAGAAAGTAAGAGGCTATGGATGCCACTCGTTTTTCCCTACAAGCCAGGTGCAGGGAGCCTTCTGCAGTGCTTGGACTCCTGATTGATGATTGCCTTTGCACTAATTGTGCTGCAGGTAGTTAGCAAAAGTGAACGGGCACACTGTAGCTTTAAAAAGTCAGCCATGAACCAGAAGGCAGTTGGTGCAGCTTGTGTGTGATTCCTCACGTCATGTTGGCTGAGAGCCAGCCTGGTTTTATTTCACTGTGTCAAATTGTACCTCCTTATTGAATTCCTTTGCCAGCCTACTTTGTGAAAGAAAACATTGGGGTTTCTTTGGCTGTTCTTGATAAGCCTATTAAAAAAAATGACATGTGTTAGTTGCTTCTAGGTAGGTTTTCTTTTTACTCTTGCACAAAAAAAAAAAAAAGAATGATAATAATGATTAATAATAATACTAAGACAATGTAGTCTGGTGCTACAGAGTCATTGTGTTGTGTTGTGTTTTGTTTTATCTGAGATGCTTAGGAAAATGGTGAAATGTGTCACAGTGTCCAACTGAAGTGAAATCATTCTTTTGGCTTTGGAGCAGCAGCACTATCTCCTGTCTACACTGTGACGGTGTGTGAATGTATGTTAATATCTCTATGTATATTAAATGTGGGATTTCTCTGTGAATGATCGAAGTGGCTTAGCAGCTGGAAGTTGTGTGTGTGTGTGTGTGTGTGTGTCTCAGGAGTGAAGATTATCCCACACTTAACAGTATTATTTGTTAATCATCTACTTCTCTAACAGTGATAAAAAAAAAAAAATCTTGTGAATGTTACTAAATGATGCACTTGTCATGTCAGAGTAATCCCTGGGGAAAGGAGCGCCGAAGTAGAAAGTAATTTGAGGGGAAATGTATTTAATTTATGGCTTCAGCTGTAGAACAAGCACGTTTCAGAACTAGTTCTTTTAAAGCAGTTTTGTTCGTAGCTTTTTCATCTTGCTGATTGCATATTAATTGTGGAGGGTCTTCATTCATTTATTTATTTTTCCACAGTCCTCATCCTACTGAACAAAAAGACAAAGTGACGGATGCTACTATAGATCTCCTTGGTTGGATGTTTTGGTGTTTTTTTTTTTTGTTTTGTTTTGTTTTGTTTTTTACATGAATCTAATGAGCTGCTTCCCCTCTCTTGCACACACACACACACACACACACACACACACACATCAGCACCACCTTTCTGTGCTCAGGGCTATCTGACATTTTTGTGAGCTTCCAGCTTTACCACAGCATGGCCATCTCACAGGTTTTTGAGGCTTTCTTTCAGAATTTGTGAGGTAGGGGAATACTTAACTGACAAAAGCTTTAAGTGTTCTTTTGCATTGCAATGGAAAAAATAGAAGGTTTGTGAGTGGACCAAAAAAAAAAAAAAAAGCAATTAAAAAAGAAAAAAGAAAAAAGAAAGAAAGAAATCATAGCCCGCGGTCTGAAGGGGCAGGAAAAGGGGGGATTGTTTTTCTCGACTTTGACTCATTTGTGAGTTGCAATGTCTTAAGTGAGAGCTTGGCACCCAGGGGAAGCTGTGCCAGTTCACACAGCACTTGTTTTGAAGGAGGATTCAATTTCATTTGCAAATGCTTATTGTCAAGGCAGGGAGTGCCAGTACAGATGAAAGCACCCCACTCCGTCTCCTCCAGTTCTTTAGGTTTAATCACATCTCTCCAACCGCTGAGGGAACTGGAGGTTTAAACAAACATACGTGAACTGGTGTGAAGCTGTAAAAGGGACCATTATGTTTCCGATTCAGAATATATATTCTTCTCTCACTTTCTAAGAATTAAACACGAGCTTTTCTCCCTTATTGATTAGTTGCTGAAGTAAAGGAACCCTGCAGCCTTCCCATGCTCTCTGTTGACATGGAAAACAAGGAAAATGGCTCTGTCGGTGTAAAAAAGTAAGTGAAACTGGCTTGTGAGTTCTGCTTCTGCAAACAACAGAGGGACTTGGTTTCTATTTTTATACTTCTTGCTTATCTACTACGATACACTGTTTGGGGGTTATTTTGCTGGGTCTACACTGGCCATCAGACTCCCTTCTCCCCCCCCCCCACCCCGTTCCAACCCCAGTTGCCGTATTCTTTATTCCATTTCGATGACAGAGATGACTCAGGCATCCAACTGTGCATAAAGGGTTAGCGTATCAGGCTTTGGAACAGGGACGGTGGAGGATCTCAGCCCCGCATTCTGTATATTGAAACAAAACACTGAGCAAACAGGCTCTGCCTTCCAAGTCCATAGACTACAAGGGTGGGGGCAGAACAGAGGATTCGAGTCTTTTTAAATAAAATCACCTCTATCAAAATCGAGACCTATAGTAAAGGAAAAAAAAAGCTTTGGTTAGACTGTGAAGTTGAACAACTCTGTCCTACTAATTTTATGAACGGATTCTTGAATGTGAAACATTTCAGTACATAACAGTGTTCTGTTTTCATGTCTCTTCTCACATTTGAAACTTTGTTGTTATATGCTTGATTCTTTTAAAAAGGAAAATTCAGTTGTATTATATAGCATATTCTGAAACATGCTGCATATTTCAAGGTAACTCATAAGTTATCTGTGAATATATGAAAAATATGTATGTCTCTACTTAGATGTTATTCTGAAGCTATAACCACTTTGACTACAAGGAGGAAAGTAAGTTCCAAGAGAGTGTTGTCTGTTCCATTTTTCCGTGTCATTTATTTTAAAATTGCCCCCAACTTGAGCTTTGGAGAAAACTAATTAAATATAATCTGTAGAAGTTAGGATATGAGGGAACAGTGTGCTACATGTTTGTGAGTAGAGGGTATATTTTGCTTCACAGCAAAGTTACATTAAAATAAACTTAATAAAATCTGCTTTTAAAGATTCTCGGGTAATGTATATCCCAATGCCATGCTGGCATGCTCATCCCATTCTTGGAGTTTATTTAGGGTAGGTAAATGTAGGAGAAATAAAAGAAACAGATGTGCTTTCTTTTTCTTTCTGTATGAGTTAGATCAGTGCTGCCCAGGAAGTAGTCCTGTGAACAGTGATGGAGATGTTCTACACTTGCATTTTCCAAAATGGTAGCCACTGGCTACATGTGGCTGTTTTAAAATTTGAAATGTGACTAGTGTAACTGATTAACTGAACTATTAATTTTAAGAAATTTTAAAAGTTAACAGCTTTCCTGAAATATAACCGACATATAACAAACTGCATGTGTTTAAAGTATAAAATTTGTAAGTTTTGATATTTGTATACATCCCATGGAACCATCACCCCAATTAAGATAGCTCCCCAAATTTTCTCATAACCCTTTATAATTTCTCTCCTGTCCTTGTCACCATATACCCAGGCAACCACTGATACGCTGTCACTATAGATTAGACTTTTTTAGTTTAGACTTATTATTATTAGATTAGTTTAGACTTATTTTAGACTTTTATATAAATGGAATTATTCAGAATGTACTTTTTTGAGAGGATTGTTGGGGTATGGTTTCTTTTACCCAAGATAATTAATTTGGGATTTACCCATGTTATAGTGTCTATCAATAGTTCATTACTTTTTATTCCTGAGTAATATTTCATTGTATGGATATACAACAGTGTATTCACTGTTTATTCATCTATTTGTTGATAGACATTTGGGTTGTTTCTATATTTCAGGTATCACAAATAAAGATACTTTGTCCATTTGCATACAGAATTATGTGTGGACATATACTTTCATTTCTCTTGGATATATAGGAATGGAATTTCTGGGCTATCTGGCACAGTTATATTATTAGGGGTATATTATTCTTTTTAAGAAATTTCCAAGCTCTCTTCTAAACTGAGTGTCTTTCTACATTCCCACCAGCAGTGTGTAAGTGTTCCAGTTTCTATATTCTCATGAACTCAGTATGATCAGTCTTTTTCATATTTGATAGTCTATGAGGTGTAATTTTCATTCTCATTTCCTTAATGACTAAAGATGTTGAGCATCTCTTCATGTGCTTATTTGCCATCCATACATCTTTCTTAAGTAAAATATCTAAATCTTTTGCCCATCTTTTTGTTGGCTAATTACTTATGTGTTATTTTGTAGAGAATTTTTATATGTTCTGGATACAAGTCCCTTATATACATGATTTGAAAATATTTTCTAGTAGTACATGACTTGTCTTTTCATTCTTACTACAGTGTTTTTTTGAAATGTGGGGGTTTTTAATTTCAATGAACTCCAATTTATCAGTTTTTCTTTTATGAATAGTGTTTATCTTTTTATTTCCTTAAAGATTTATTTATTTATCTGGGAGTATGCACATGTGCATGAGAACCTCAAGGGGGGAGGGGCAGAGGGAGAGGGAGAGAAAATCTTAAGCAGCCTCCATGCCCAGGATAGCCTGACATGGGGCTTGATATCATGACCTGAGCCAAAATCAGGAGTCGGATGCTTAACCAACTGAGCCACCCAGGCACTCTATGAATAGTGCTTTTAGTGTCATGTCTAAGAAATATTTGCCTGACTTAAGGTCACAAAGATGTTTTTATATTTTCTTGACTTGGGACAGTGATTCTTGAGTAAATTTTTGTATATGTTGTGAGATAAGGATTAAATTCATTTCTGTTGATGAGGGTGGTGGTGGTGGGCTTCTTGCCTATGAATATCCAATTGTTCCAGCACCATTTTTGAAATGTTCCTGAATTTTGCTGAAAAATAATTGATTATATATGTGTGTATCTATTTCTGGAATTTTTTATTCTGTTCATAATTTTGTATCTATTTATGCTAACATAACTTTTGATAACTATAGCTGTATAACAAATCTTGAAATCAAGTAATGTTATCTATTTAACTTTGTTCTTTTTCAGACTTGTTTTGTCTCTACTAGGTTCTTTGCATTTCCAAATGATTTTTAGAATCAGTTTGTCAGTTTCTAAAAAAAAAAAAAAAAAAAAAAAACACCTGCTGGTGGTTTGGTGGCATTGCGTTGACTTATAGATCAACTTAGGGAGAATTGATCTCTTAACAATATTGTGTCTTCCCACCCATTAACACAGTATTATTCTCCATTCACTTTGTCTTTCTGTAATTTCTCTCAAGGTTTTGTAGTTTTCCAGATATTTGTAGGTCCTGCACATCTTTTGTGAGATATATCCCTACAAAATTTTATAATTTCATGCTATTAACATAGTATTAATGGTATAATACCATGGTATTGCCTTTTAAATTTTAATATCCAATTGTTTGTTGATAGTATATAGAAATACAATTGATTTTTGCATATTGACCTCATATTCTGCAATTTTGATACACTCATTTGTTCTAGTAGCTTTTTGGTACATTAGCTATTTTACATCTATTTAACACAGATAATTATGTTGTGTGAGTAAAAGCAATCTTTTTCCTTCTCGATGTAAATATATTTTGTTTCTTTTAATGGCCTTTTGCGCTGAATAGGACCTCCAACAAAAAGTTGCAAAGAAGTGGTGAGATTAGACAGACTAGTTTTGTTTCTGTAAGGGAAAACATTTAGTCTTTTTCCAATCTTTGATTTTCTACATAAAATGTGTCTCTTGTCTGCTTGTAAGATGTTTTTATCATTGATTTTAAAGCAATTTGATTATGAAACTTGGTATATAGTTTTCTTCAGCTTTCTTGTGATTGGAGTTTTGTTTTGTTTTTTGACTCTATAGGTTTAGTTTTCATCAAATTTGGAAATTTTCCAGGCATTATTTATTGGTTTCCCTCACCCCTCCTTTGGTAACTCCAGTTATGGAATATTTGATCATGTAATACTGTGCCACAATTCACTAATGCCCTAGATTATTTTTTTCATTCTTTTTTCTATGTATTTCATTTTGGATAGTTTCTATTGTTCTGCCTTCAAGTTCACTAATCTTTTCTTCTGAAGTGTATAATCTATTGTTAATCCCACTCAGTGTGTTTTTCATTTCAGACAATATAGTTTTCATCTCTAGAGGTTTAACTTGGGTCTTATTTTTATACCTTGATATCTATACTTAACATATTCAATCTTTCCTCTTGCTCCTGAACATATGAAGTATAGTTATTATAACTGTTTTAGTGTCCCTGTCTACTACCAATTCTATCATTTCTCAGTCCATTTCCATTGATTTCTCAGTGAGAATGGGTTGTATTTTTCTACCTTTGCATACCTGGTAATTTTTGATTGAGTGTCAGATATTGTGAATTTTAGCTTTTTGGGTGCTAGATATTTTATAGGAATTATAAATATACCTGATTTCTGTCTTGGATGCAGTTAGGTTACCTGGAGACAATTTGATCACATTAAGTCTTGCTTTTAAGTTTTGTTAAAACTTAAAAGGACTTAAAAAGGACCAGGGCTGCATTTTGTCTAAGGGTATTTTTCCCCACTTTCTAAGGCAAGACCCATCTTTGTACTCTAGCCAGTGCTCAGATGGAGACAAGCAGTTTTCCCATCCCTGCATGATCCCCAAGGACTGTGCTCTCTAATTGTTTTGGGTGGTTCTTTCCCCAGACTCCATTAGTTTCCTCACATGTATATGATAATCACTACTCAGTTGAGTGCTTGAGGGAAGCCTCTGCAGATCTCCAGAGTTCTCGTGCTGAGAGCTCTTTCCTCCATAGTCTTTAGGATTCTCTTCTGTGCACAGTCTAAACTCTTTCTTCAGGCAGTAAGTGAATAGAGTTTACCTTGCTTGTTTTCCATCCTTCGGGACTCAGTGTCGTTTATTATCAATGTCCAATGTCTGGTGTGCCATTCTTTCATATATTTTATTCTACTTTTTTTAGTTATTTAGGCAGAAGGATAAATCTGGGCCTTATTACTCCCTCTTGACCAGAAATGGAAGTTCCAGTTAATTAATACAGCCCTTTGTGACTAGTAGGTAATCTAATGGACAGTGTAGAGTTAGATTATAATTAGGATCCCAAAAGGCAC